ACCATCATTAGGTTGTTTGCCTGTGCTGACATGACTGGACAGGGGTGTACTTTGTGGTGGTCCTTGAAATTGTCTGTGTTGTAGGTATGCCCAGTAGCAATTGTTCTCGACTCGTTCACACCAGGTGTGGTGTGGGAATATGTGCAATATTTGTGCATTTTCCCAAAGTGCTGAGGAATATTCTGCTTTTTGCAGAAATACGTGGGTGCCATTAATTCACCCCCACGTATAAAAGCACATGTGTTCGTGCATGGCATTGCAGCACCTTGCATTTTGCTGTGGCACAATTTTAAAAATCATGCCTGGGCTATTTTTGCGCATTCACCTCCATAGGGCAGCAATTTGAAAATAATGGGCTGCTCTAGGGCATGAAGCGTGGTAACAGGTAACAAAACACAAATGCTCTGGCGCACCTTTGGTGTTAATGAGCCCTTAAAGTGTTACTGAGCCCACAACCGTAAAATCAACCTGTAAATGCAGTAAGGCATGCTTGTTATACTCACTGTGGAACCTAAGGGGTTAATCCTCTGTATTATGTAAAAAGGCTGTTTGATCCTGACTGCTGTGTTCCTCCCCTTGTTCAAGCATCCACCTCTTATCTCCTGATAAAATAGATTGAACCGTAGGCATTTTGCACATGCTCAGTTTATTGTGTATTGCTAGACAGGGTTTTTTTTTTTCTTTGGAGAGTACATATGATCAGCACAAGTCCAATCAGCACTGGTCAATCAGCAGAGAGAGAGTCAGGAGTCCTGCAGTCTCATAGGACAGTGAGAGGAGAATGAAAACTCCTCCTACAAACGTCAGCCAGTGCTCTGCTGGACACTGATAGAAGTCACAAGACTGCTCTAACTGCTGATGACAAAAGGTATTTAGCAGTTTATAGTTACTAAAATAATTGAATTTCCATGTTGTGTGTACTGTGGGAGAGCAGATATAGTGAATGCAGGGTCCTGGGTTTAGTAACACTTTGTATTAAAAATTAAGTACAGTTTAAACCAAGCTAGCCTCCACTTAGCACGAGATTCAGCACAGAAAAGTACTATAGTGCCCATTTACCAAACGCATGTACTCCAATAATAATTTATAAAAATCATAAAATAACAATTCATAAAGTGTAATAAAAGAAATGCTATTTTTTGATGTGATAATTCATCCAAAAAGACGTTTTTCAAACTTTTGATTGTTACAAAAAAGAGAAACTATTTGTGTTTATGAATTGTTTGTCATTTGCAGTCATTATGGAATAAGATCTCCTTGACTTGCTTTAAGTGCCTTGGAGAAAATTCTCACTGCTGACAGTGTTAAAAGCATAGATTTTAGGAATAAAAAATGTAATCACACCATAAGGGCATATGGATGGGAAGATCAGCCACAATGGTATTCTATGTCATTGAGGCCTGATCAGCAGATTTAATGAGGTAGGGTGATGGCTAAATTCGACACACATGGGAAGTTGATGGCTCTTTTTGCTTAAATTCAATTATATTGTTGATCTCCAAGTTAGCGATGCCATCGGTACAACTGGTCAATAAAGAATACCAGAAGCCAATACTAATAATTATCCTGGATCTCTGCCCTAGATTGATGAGTATTGCTTAGCACTATGACCAGTAAACATTTTGGTTAGACAAGGAAAAATAGTGATTTGGAGGCACAAGATGTCTAAGGGGACTGATTACACGAGGAGGAACAAAAGGAGCTTAAAAAGGAAAGTAAGTAGGAAAGAAATAGAGTAGAACTATAATTCCACTGGCTTTAGCTCAGTCAAAACCTGTGAAGAAGGGTTCCCAAATACATGAAACTACAAGTCAAAGTTGAGTGTATGCCAAAGGTTTAGACCACTATAATATTAGAAGGGCAAGCTGGCGATAAACTGTTTACATTTACTGGGACCTTGATAAAGAAGCCAGATGGTCCAGACATTATGATCTTTATCTAGGTAATCTCAGTCAAACACCACTAAATATTCCATTTTCTGTATTTCGTTAGCAACTTCCAACCATTCCAGTATTGTAGGGGCTTGGGATGATTTCCATTGTTTAAGAAGCATTTGCTTTACAGCAAATGGAAAATCTTTTATCAATTTTTGAGTGACTGAAATAGACTGTGGGAATATTAAAAACGCTCCCTCAGTACCACCCACATATCCAAAATGGATACCACAATTAGCACTTTCTCCTCCCACTAACACAAGATTTCTCCTATCTGCTCCCACTCAATAGCAACCACGAACAATTGTTTGTATGTCCTCTGACCCAGATGTAGAGACCTCCCAACCCATCCCTCTTACTTCAAGAGACTGGGTGAGTGTTGACGTTAATAGCCAGCAAGATGTCTTGCACCAATGTCACAGACTCAACCAATGCTTCACCCAACGTACTGCCCTTAGGACAGTTAACAGTCTTACTATTCACATTGTCATTAGTTCCCACAAGAATAACTTGTGACACCTTTGTAATCGGTCTTTCTCGTACATTTCCACCTTTGACTCCATTATAGTCACTTTGGTTTTTGCCATTCACAATGTTGAGTTGGATTTGTATGCCTAATATTGTCGAAAAACATAAAAAATCTTAACAATAGAATGCATTTAAAGTGCTACGTTGATGACATTTGGAACTTTTTTGTCATGGATAAAGTTATACAGATGAATAATAATAGTCCATAGTCTAGCCTTTGTAAAGTAGGTGTAAACCCTAGGCTGGACTCATTGTTCCATGTGCATTGCAGCACATATGTTAATGAACACGTGTAGATGAGACAAGATCAGAACATTGGAACCCCATAAAAGGAGGCGGTGACTGAAGAAGAACCTTCAAGGCAGGATCGTTGGGTATTGGATTAATAAAATATGCAGAAATAACTTTTGGAATTACATTACCATGTTAAAACGTATGAGATTTTAGTTCTTGAGCTTGCTTGCCATCTTTCTCTTTTTCTTTTTTTTGCCTCTTGTTATGTCTCTGTTTATTTTCTATCTATTTTTTTTCCCGCAATGCCAAAGGCAATGGCCGAGTTTCTAGATGCAGGCAATAAAACGAAGGCGAAAGTGAGTTTTTTTATGGATGTCTCCCTCTCAGTGTGCTTCAAAAATGTTATTTTTCAGTCTGTTTCATCAGGCTGCCTGGGATTGATTTTAGAACAGGGCTGAAGATTAATCCTCCAAAACGACACTTAAGAGCACACTGTGTTGGCGATGCGTATGGCAGCCGCTATTCACATTTATTAATGGCTGGGATCAGCCTGTGGGTGTGGTGTTCTTCATTAAACGTTCATTGCATGGAAGTGTCACTGCACTATTTGTGCCGCCATTCTGAGCTGTAAAAAAATCATGTCAACAAATGGTATTCAGGATTTGATAATAAAGAGAAAAACGAATATTATTTTTCAGGTAGCACACTTCAATAGGTGAAAAAAAAAAAAAAAAATATATATATATAACTATATATATATATATATATATATATATATATATATATATATATATATATATATATATATATATAAAAAATTTTTCTCTGTCGGGCTGATGGTCTGTCTCTGGACATAGGTAAGTGCTGAATGTGCGGTGGTGGAGAGCCAGGCTCCTGTCAGCCTATTATTGGTTGGTACAAGCGGAGAGGCTGCAGCTGTTCGCACATATCTGTGACTCTTTCCCCCAGTAATCCATAGATTCTTGTTTCAGGGATCAGCGAACATCTCTAATTAGGCCTCCTGCATACAAGACATTATCCTAATTGTCAAAGGTTTCCTCCTGGCAGCAGCATTTTGGCAGAAAAAAAACCTAACACTTGTGAAAGTGTATAACGCGTTTAGGCACGTTTTAGCCATATCAAGCATTTGGGTGTTTCATTTCGTTTGCCAGAATACATCATTTATTCTGGCCTCTGAAATCATTATTATTTATTATTGAAATGAATTAACGCTTAAGTGCTAAAGATGCCAAGCGTTAATGCGCGTTTACACATGCTTAGAAGCGTCAAGCATCTTTTCTGCCAAAACTCTGCTGCTCCTAGATGCACTGCCAGTAGGGTTTTTTTTTTTCCTGCCTCTAAACTCTTCTAAAAGTCTGTGTGCATGGACCCATAGGATAACATGCAGGGGATTTTAAAGGCGGGGAAAAAAAAAATGCCAGATGCCCCTAGGAGCAGCTGTAAAAAATCCAGTGTGCATGAGACCTAACAGGAGTGAATGAGGCATCCCTGAAGCCTCACTACAAAGAGGAACACCCCCAAGGGACACTGAGATTTCTACTTTTGCGTAGACTTGCATGTCATAGCATATATTATCCACAGATGCCAGTTTCATAGTTGCCAACATTCCAAAAAAATTTCTAAGGACATCTTTTTGCCTTGTGTCCAGCAAGCCATTGTAGGAGGAGCATATACTTAGGGGCGTGGCATTAATTTAAAATGGGCGTGGCGCTACAAGCAAGGAATCATTAACAAATTAATTTATTTGTTGAAGGCATATGTTGTGCCTTCTACTCTCAGGGGGTTCAAATACTTGATACCATTGCTCAGATGTTTGGGGAACTACAAGTCCCAGCATTGTCATTTGTTACCTAGGACAGACAATTTTGGGAGTTGGTGCACTTTTGTTACTAGTGTGTTGGTAATGTGAGGAACTACAAGTCCCTGGGTGGTGACATAAACTAAATGCTGAAACTTTCTGTAACGTTGCAGACCTGGGACAATTCTGTCATCTTTAGTGTTATTATACATTATTATTTTTATTATTATACAGGATTTATATAGCGCCAACAGTTTGCTCAGCACTTTACAATAGTGTTGAGTAACTACAAGACCCAGCATGCCCATGTAATTATTTTGCACATGTACAGTGGACCACATTATTTTAGTTTTTTATGTTTACCCCCCCCCCCCCCCCCCCAAAAAAAAGATTTCAGTTTGTTTTTCAATTAAGTTATACAGTTTATAGGTCACATGAAAAGTGGAAAAAGTTCTGAAATGATTATCTTTGTCTCATTTTTTTACATCACAGGAACCTGAAATTTTAACAGGGGCGTGTAGACTTTTGATATCCAATGTATGATCCCAAATGGAAAAATGAAAAAAAGTACCAAAATTAAAACTTCATATAAAGTACTTCAAATATCTTGCAAACTTGTGACTTGTAACCAGGGGCAGACTGACCATTTGGAAACTCGGGCAATGCCCGAGGGCCCGGGGTCAGTAGGGGGCCCCATGAGATGCCCCTGGTACCTTTTTTTTTTCATAGGCTTTTTTGAGTTTGGGCAAGGACACAGGGGCCCCATGATCTCCTATTGCCCGGGGGCCCCATGAGTTGTCAGTCCGCCCCTGCTTGTAACCTGACTATGTTCAGTTCACCACTTGTGCAAATCTCACTCCACCATCACTCTTGATGTGATCCAGTGGATTGATATGAAAGAGGCCAGGACTTTATCTATCTGGAGCCGCTGCATGAAAATTATTCCGCCACACTCAAAAATGGAAAAAAAATAGTCGGCTTTCCTGCCGCAGTCCCCCCTGCACTCAAACAAATAGAGCCAGGGAAAGTTGTTGTGTTTTTTTTCTTTTTTTTTTTTTTTAAATTGCTCTAGGTTTGTTGAGTAGTAGGGAGTCCTATCTACAGCTGTCCCCACCCCCAGCCCTGATTCCAGGACACAGGCTGGGACTGAGCAATGGCGGGACAGAATCCAAAAAATCATAACTGTCCTGGGCAATCCGTGACAGTTGGCAAGTATGAGTTCAGACAAGTGAGCCAACAATGCAAAAAATCTGCAAAAGTAAGGCTTGGTTCACACCTACAGGTGCAACCATACATGCAGACATTTGTGCTTGGCATATAGGGCAGTCTATTCATTTCAGTGGGCTGCCATAAACACAAGAAATGTGTAAAAAGTCCTTGACACTCTTCCAAAAACATGGCACACTGAACCACATGATGCTGTGGCACCATGCGGTTTGACCCACGCAAAAACGCACAATTGCAGATGCATGGGGTATCAACAGTTAGTAGCGCCGCCACGTGCCTGCTAAATGGCATCACATTACTGTGTGTGTCCCTGTACGATTTTGCACATAGATGTGAACGTAGCCTAAGGTAAGTAAAAAAGAAAAATGGATTCAAATAAATTGTCAGGTTCTCCAGTAACAAAACAGGCTAAAATATGAAAGAAAGCACAATTGGGTTTTAAGGGCTCCTGTGCACTGAAATTTGCTTTTCTTTCCCATTGAAGTCATAGTAAAGGCAAAAGCAACCCAGATATAAATCATAAAACTCAGAATTGTCTCAAATCTGTTGTATAATATACAGTAGATCTATACTCTGGCAAAAAAAAGTAAACCAACCTAAATCTATACTCTGACAAAAGAAAAAAACCTCAAAGTATAAATACATTTTAAAAAATGGGTCAGACTCGATGGACCATTTGGTGTTTTTGCTGCTTTTACTCTTCTATGTGGATGCCTGTGTACACAATTCCTAAGGCATTTTCTGACATTGAACTGACCTCTCTTAGAAACATTCATTCATCTCTTCTCTTCTTTCTGCTTTTAGGCCACATGTTAAAACTGATAAATGTTGAAATTTGTTTACCATTCAATTGTTTGAAGATAATGCACTCAGTGGTATTTCCACCCCTCCATCTAAGAACGCGATTACTCCAATAGTAAAATGAATACATTTAGTAGCAGTTGCCTGCCTCCTCCGCGCACGGTTTCCCTGGTCTCAACCATCAGGGTCTCAACCATCAGTGTCTCCACCAGTCTGAAACCCTCGCCGCCATTTAAAAAACAAACATCCAGTACAGTGCAAGACACTTGATGTCATTGGCGGGTTAACAGAGGAAAAGGAAGAAACCAGTTGCTGAAAGCGTCATGATAATTTTAAACCAATGATTGGAATGCCATACTGTACATCTGCTCGTGGCTTTATGCATTTATCATCTTGTGCATGTACTGTGATCTGGTGAAAAAAAAGGCTTGGTTTCCCCCAGGGTGGATTTGATTTAAATCACTAGTGAAAAGGCTCGATTTAAATCCTAATTCTTAAAGAGCAACTGTCATCTCTGTCCCGCAGCAGCTCCTCCTCTGACCCGATGTTGGCTCACTGACAGTCCCATTCACTTTAATGGGATGGCAGATGATGCGGCAGTGACACAACAAAGTGGCGGCAGCAGGTGAGTGGATGCCTGCTAACAGGCGATGCCATGATGGATCTAAAATGACAGGTGCTCTTTAAATGAAAAGAATCCAACTCATTATTGCTGGTAGTTAGAATCTTTAATATTTGCAAACCAAATGAAGGTTTCCTTTTTAGAATAATAATGTCATTTTAGTAAAACAGCGATATCAGAACCGATTTTAGGTCAATAGGTTAATCGCACATAGCTGGAGAACGACTAAAATTCTTTTATTTCATGTTTTTTCTCATGCTTACTGTGACATTGTGTGAATTCATCAATGCAGTGCATGTGATCTCAGCTTGGATTCATTGAATGAGTTTACCAAAAATGTAAAATATTGCAGAATTGTCTCATGCTACATAACTAAGCTCCATTTCATGCTGAATAAACCAAAGATAAAGATGCATTATCTTTAGGTAGATTTTTACTCCAAAAGCATTTTATTAAAATAAATTTGATTTAAAGAAAGAAAATCCATTTTTTTTTTTTTTTTTTTTTTGGAATTTTAAACAAAGAAATAATCAATTTGTATTCACCCTGGTTTCCCCTGAGATCTCGCAGTTAGGACTTGGGGTTCTCCCTGGAAGGCACTTGTGATGTAGCCTTCCCAGGGTACAGCTGTGAGGAATACCAGGAAGTAGGAACCCAATAAAGGGTAAGAAGTATAATTTCATTATTTATTTTTTTTTGCACCACTATAAGATGATTGCACAACAACTTGCAGGGCTACATGCTGAAATATTTTATGAATGGGGTAAAGGCCCAAATGGAAACATGCAGGTTTTTTTTAATATAGAAGAGCCATACCTTGCCTGGCTGCCTGCACAGTACATTGAGCTGCGCACACACAGTTCAGTGTACAATTTTAGCATCTGTCGAGATAAATAAACTCCTGCACATGTGAGGGAGTGACATCTTGTCCTAGCCATTCAAAATATCCAAAGATCGGAACCAAGAAGGAGCCCATCTGAAGATGTCAGTGGCCAGTGAGGGAGTTCTGAGACAAAACCGCACTGAAATGGAGGCGAGTATAGTCCTGCTTTAAAGTGTATGTAAACCCTTACAATGAACTTCCCTTATTTGCTCCCTTTTAGGCTGTTAGAGTGGATGTAACCCTCAGACATGAAATATGAACAAAACCAATCCCTCTATAGTGCATACTTGTCTCAAGAGCACGAAGTGTCATTTCTGTCTGCTGCCTCGTTCCTCTACTATCAGCACGAGCCACTAATGTCATGTTTACCAGACACCAAGAAAATAATGTTGACAGGTAGGGACCTCCAGCAGATTGACAGCCTCAGCTCTGTCCCTGTGTGCTGTGTGAAGGGACTGTGTCCCTTCCCTCCAATCAGCTCTCAGAGCTCTTTTCACTGAGCTCTGTAGTGTGTTGTTTCAGCTCTCCGTCCCCTTTTTCCTGAACTCTCTCAAGCTTTATAAATGTAGCATTTATAATGGATGTAAATGAGAAGACTGCAGATAGACAAGTACAACTTATATAAGAGGATTTGTTTCATCTCCGTGTATCACCTGAGGTCAGTGACTTCACTGGGTATATGTAAGGGTTTACAACCACTTAAAATATACCACTGGAAGCATAACGATTAAAAAGGTTGCTGGTCCTGCAATGATTCAGAGCCATCCTGTACACACAAACGGTGTTCACTCAAGAAGTCTTCTCACTCCTCCTAGTTTTTATCTTGCATCTACAGATCATGTTTATGCTGTGGAGCTGAGAAGAGGCAATCTGATACGGCAGTTTAGCAATAGACCGCTTGGCAGGGCTGGCACCACTCAGTCCTCAAAAAAGCTGTGTTTTGTCAGCCCACAACAGGCCTAAGGATCTGAGTGCATTTCTTGCTGGCCAGCAGGTATTTCTCTGTACTTGCAGGGCCCTTAAAAAAAAAAAAAAGGGAAATGTGCATGTATTGCAGAGTTGGACTGCATATTTTATATGGACAGACCCTTTTAAGAGTAGAAAACTCCTTGACTAGAACTAGAGGTGAGGCTTGTTCCATATTTCTGAAAATACCCAATTAATTAGAGGCATTAGTCACATCCGTTGAGTGACACCTTTTCTATCACCATTTAATCTCTTCAATGGAATTCTGCAAGTGTAGGTGTAACCAATCCACAGAGCTTGCAATCTACTTTCCATGGCATGGGCACAACTGCCAGAAGTCTAAACAGTTGGTTCTTGTGGAAGGCAGGAAGGTGCCCTCAGACGACCTCTTCATGCCGTGTTTCACTGATCGGCTATGACAGGGGCCGCTGGCTTATTCCTTCGAGTAGACACCAAGGACGATACAAGTCTTGAAACTGCAGCTTACACAAGATTTTGGCCAGCCTGGCTGTGTTGATTTGCTCAGAATGCGTTTCCAGTCTGCAGTTAGTTGAGGGAACTAACACGCAATGCAGTAGAGGCCTTTAAAGAGAAATGACTGCCCAGAGCTACCAGATTGCAGTTTTCATTTCTCCAGTACAAGTTGCAGAATGAATATCAGATTGTGATTTCTAGAATTACATTGTCCCTTCCAAAAAAAATATGACTGCCCTCTTATTAAGCCATGAAAAGGAGAATGGAGAGTTGAGAATCATATAACAAGAGGTAGCAGTCCCTTCCAGAATGAATATGAAAGCTTCCTGGATCCAGTGTTAGTTAGTGGAAGTTAGTGTATGTAAACCCTCACCTTGTATAAGTTTAAAATGGCAATGAAAGGCAAAACAGATGAAGATGGGTTGACATCACTTCTTGGACTGACTCTCTCTCTCTCTCTCTCTCTCTCTCTCTCTCTCTCTCTCTCTCTCTCTCTCTCTCTCTCTCTCTCCTCTCTCTCTCGTTGATTGTTAATTATGGAAAACATTGGCACAATTGTACAAATAATGTGTCTGCTAGGAGCTGTAGAACAGGTATATATGTTATTATTTCCAATGCCTTGTTAAAATAATGTAAATTTGGAAATGGTTGTTAAGTATTTTGTATTGTGGATATGGTGCCATACTTATCAATATAATGTATTATTTTATTATTGGGAAAAAAAAATTGTAGTATATTTATCCTTAACAGCAGTAACACTGGTCTTCCCAGTGAATGGATGTGCAGCTGGAGCGTGTCAGGATAAGCTTGATTATTGGA